AGCCAGTATTGGTGACTGCAGCTTCAGCCGGCTTCTTCTATTCTGCATTTTTGCTCCTCAATGCATGGGCAGACCCTAATATTGCTGGCAATGACCGCCGGACTTCCTTGCATTTTGCCGTTCTCACACATTCGCCAATGACTGTGCAGGTTTTGCTGGCTGGAAGGGCTGATGTGCATGTGAGGGATTTGCATGGCGAAACCGCTTTACATTTTGCTGCCATCAGCGAGAACGTGGCTTTCGTGAAACAGCTGATCATGGCAGGGGCTGACCCTTTGACTCCCAATGAGGAAGGAGATGTCCCGCTACTTTGGGGCCGTGAAGTGGACACTAAAGGTGCCCTTTTGGAAGGCTGTTGGCATGACATGTCGTATACCATGCTCTTTCTCTTAAACTTGCGAACCTTGTCAGCCTATACAACTTGCAGGCCATTGGAAAAGCTTTGCAAGTGCATGCGCAAGCTGCTCTGTGAATATGTCTTGCACGATGAAGCTGACTTCCAAGGAGGGGCCGAGTCAAACGCACCAACGGAGCGCCTTTTGCACTTGTACTTGTTTCGCAATCCGCTCCCTGCAGATCGGCCCCGGGTGTGGCATCAATTGCAATTGTTTCAGTTATATGTGGAGCCTCTCCAGCCCACATTGCAGAAATTCCCGAGATTGTTTTGGATTTTGCCGGTGCCATTTGATGTCTCGCAAAGCAAGGAACAGTGGAAGGTGAAGCTGTTTGCTGCCTCCACGTTTTTGAATTTGCTGCAGAAGGGCGAAGTCGTGAAGCTGGAGGGTGCCCTCATCACCTGGTTTTGGCCAGAAATTTTGCAGGACATGTCCTTATTGGACATTCTTAGCACAAGGAACACATCATCCAGCGCACGTTCTAGAGCGAGGCAGCTATCTACTGCTGTCCTCTTCTTCTCAGTGCTGGCCACACCTTTGCCGCAGACCACCCCAAAGAAATTGAGTTCAATGGAGACAAACATCTGTCATCGTTGGGTTCTTCTGCAAAGATTTTTGCTCAGCAACAACCACCGCAAACCCAAGAGAGAGCAGCCTAGAGGAAATCCCGTTTTGTTGCTGTCAGCAGCCCTGCGGCAGGAACTTGCACGACCCGCAAATTTTGAGGATAGGCAAGGTGGCGCAGAAGATGTGAGCCAAGGTGGCACAGAAGATGTGACCCGCCGAATCTTGGAGAACAGGGGCGTGGCCCGTTCCCGCAAAATGCTGAAGTTGGTGCAATTGTCGCATGGACTTGGAATGGAGTTGCCGTTGCGGGGAGACAGCGTGGATGCTATGGTTCCCTATCGTCACGAACATTTTGCTCCCTGCGTAGACATCACAACTCTGGCATGGCTTCACCCCCATGACAGAGACCGTCACGTTCGGTTCGAGTCTGAAGGCCACGTGTATTACATCCGTGGCAAGCAGACCAATGGATCTGTGACTGGGTTGATCCATGCCTTGGCACGACCATTCGATGCCGACGAAGTAATTTCCAATATGATGGCAGGTGACAGATGGCCTCGCGCAGGCTATTTGCGACCATTCTTAGGAGAGACTGTATTGAAGCGCGTCCGCCAAGTTGATGCAGACCTTGTGCTTGCTCTCCTGGACTCCCCCCGCAATGATACATGGATCTCCAACCGGCTCCAGAGCCTGCGGACGAACTTTCCAGAGATTGTCCAGAGTCTGGTATTTGGCCCGCATGAAATCAAGCGCATGTGGGAAGCCAACCGAATTGATGCTGCTCTTCGAGGCACCCACATGCATTTTTGGTTTGGAGCGCATGTGAATGGATATGTGGTGCCAAAAACAAGTCCAGAATTCTCGATGCTTGAAACCTTCTTACAAGACATGCAAGGGTGGCGCGCCTTCCGCACGGAATGGGTTATTTTTGGTGAGGAAGAGAACATTGCTGGGTCAATCGATCTCACTGCACAAAACCCAAATGGGCAGTTGGCACTGATTGACTGGAAGCGGACCTCCAGCCTAGCATCGAAATTCTCTTCGCCGTGGACGATGCTACCGCCTTTAGATCATGTTCCGGACTGTGCTGGGTGGCATTACCGGCTCCAACTGAACATTTACAGGTATATTGTGGAGAAATACTACGGCTTTGAGGTGGCTATGATGCTAGTGGTTTGCACCCACCCCGACCAACAATTGCGGCCTTTCATCGACCATGTGCCGCGTCTCGACAAGGAGATTGAAGTCGTGATGAGTTTGCGGCGGGACAAAGCACATGCTGTTGATGTGTCTGGAGGGTCAGATTTTGAGGAACAACTTGAGAAAGAAATGGATTGGCTGAATGAGCAGGCGAAAGCCGAGGAGGCGGCTAGTAGGAGAGATGGGAGGGGTGGGCCAGAGGGACCGGAAGAAGCACAGCAACCTGAAGGACTTGCAAGTCAAGCTCTTGAGGATGATGGAGCAAACCCACTGCCAGAAGTAGATGATGCAAATCTGAGACAATGCAAGAAGCGCCGCTTGCTTCCTGGAGCTGCTCAGTCCATGCCGAAGTTTCAGAAAGAATTTGACAGCTTGCGGGCTGCTGCAAATACATCTCTGCAGCAGGCGTCAATCAAAAAGCCTGAGCAGAGCCATTCCCTTTTGCAACAGAGCAGCTACATGATCAAGCAGGTGCGTGCTCGCAAGCCACAATGGCCTGAGCAGCTTGTGCGCTTGGTGGCGTGCGCTTGCGTTTTGCCCCACATGCGGCTCTGCGATGCCTACCTCCGGGAACATATTTACTTGATCTGGCTGATGGAAGGTGGCCGCTACCTTCGTGTCCACAACGGACAATGCTTTCTGTACCATGATTGCGGGGCTTTCCAAGTCTTTCGCGGAAGCCCGCCGGAACAAACAGTTGCCCGGATCAAAGAGTTCATACTTCAAGTCGAAGGGTTTTTTCGAAGCATCCAAGGAGCAGTAGATCGAACACAGGAGAGTATAGTGCAAATGGTAGAAGGCATGGGAGGCAGATGCGAATGGAGATATAAAGGTGCTACTTGACAAGTGGATATCTGCCGCGCTCTTCATGAAGCAGCTTCCGCGCGGCCGCAGAGCGCCTCAATTTGATGAAGTTGATGATGCGGAACCAGAAGCGGCGGCAACTGGTGATGCAGGAGGGTGGACCCAATCCATTGCTATCGCCCTAAGCAAGTTGAGCGTAACCCTGCAAAAGGAAGTCATGGATGATAAGATATATGGTCTCATGATTGAATGGTGTGAAACGCCTTGCCAGAAGCAAGCTGGCTGTGCGTACAAAGATATATGCGTTGTGTATGATTCAAATGAAGAGAATGTGGAATTTGTGCAGCCAAGCCACGACAACAACCTCTACACATTGATCCCGCATGCCTTAAAGCCTTCTTTGCCGGATCCCGTCCTCCAAGCTGCGAGCTGCCGTTTGGAGAAGTTTTTCCGCGAGACCTTTTGGCGGAACTTCGATGTCTTTTTGTGCTGTCAGGCAGCCCAAGCCATCGCGAAAAGGGGTGAGAATATTGACCGATGCTTCATTGGTGAGAGCCCCGGTGGAGTAGGCCAATCTTTATACAGTTCTCACTCGAATGCGGTTTATGGACACAATCACGCATTCATTGACCCTAATATTTGGTACGATGAGCAAGAGCTCCGGAAGCAGATTGAGCAATTTGCAGGCTGCTTTATCTTAACAGCGCAGGAGGCGCCTGAAACTTCACGCCGAATGCGGGAAGACTTGTACAAAAAGACAATGAGTGCAGATGGCATGGCTGGGAGGCGGCCGTACGGGTATGTCACCCGCATGATTGAACTTACCGGATGGAAGAGGATGGAGGTCAATCGTCTGATGCAGTTCAAGGGTGTATCTGAGCATAACTTCCCATCAATCCTGCGGCGCAGTTTCCTTTGGCGTCCGCACGCTCGATTTGTATGTCCGCAATACTTGGAAGAGCATTACACAGATGCGGCGCTGGATGGGTACTTTCCAAAAGATCCAACTTTGAAGGAGTTCCTTGTCTCAGGACCAGCAATCGCCAGCAGCATGCAGCTGCAGCACGCGTTTGAACATACATACTCACGAGCTGAATGCATACATATGATAGAATCATATTGCAATTTGGGTGGTGATCAGGGATTGACAGAGGACAAAATGCGAATCGCTTGTGGGCTCCCACCGCGTCAGCGTGCCGAGATCGCTGCTCCTGGGCTAGGCCCTGTGGATGATCAACTAAGCCAGGATCAAGCAGAAAGTGTAAAAACAGGTTCTGAAGCAGTGGCCCGCCGCATTGTGGAGGAATGTCTTTCAAAGGGGTTCTTCATGTTCACATTGCAACAGTTCAAGACCATGTCTCTGCCTTCGAATGCACCCAATTTAGACAAAGAGAGCATGTTGACACAGCTACAAGAGCATTTATTGGTAAAGCAAATAGCAAGAAAGCGCGGCAAAGGAAAGCAGATCATTGTTCCATGCGTCCTGGGGCAAGGCAGTTTGCAGGATGTCTTTGATCTGAAAAGCTCAAACGACACGGCACTAGTATTCCCCGAAATGTGGCACACAAGTTGCTTGCGGGACTTTGCTTCCAAACATCTTGCCAGAGAACACAATGTCGTCACTATGATAGCATTCTTGGATGCCAGCATTGCTGCATTGAAGAGGAAAGGCTCCGGAAAGTTAACGTCTGAGGTCAAGCTCAGACACGATGCGTTGGTCGAAAGGAGGCGTAAGTTGGAAGCCAACGAGCAGTTGATTGGGAAGCTCCTCGCTGCTGCTGGTGGTGAGGCTGGTGACCTGGAAGGGCAGGCTAGCAGTCACAGATGCACAGGGAAGCAGCAATTGCGACATAGCAAGACAAAGTACAGACAAGGCTCAGATTTGATCCGTGGACGAAGGTATGCTTGTCAGCCAGGAGCACAGCAATGCTCTCGGAAACTTCTCAGGTTCTTGTGCCCTCAATCTATTGACTTAGCTTCTTGGATTGGAAAGGAAGCTTTCGCATTGTTTTTCTCCTGGGTTTCTCTTGCTTATGATTCTTACCCCTGAAAGTTAAACCTTTGTTAGCTTTGTAAAAGTGGAAGCCAAGGACATTGAAAATGCCTTTTTCACGTTGATGTCACAGCTCATCCATAAATTGGATCCTGTGTTCAAGATGCCGGATGATGCCGCAAAAGCATTGAAAAGATGCGCTGAGGCACGCAGTGATGTGATCAAGGAGCTAGGTTTGCCAGCTGCGGAAGGGAAGAAAGTTTTGCTTGAAGTCATAAACGGTGGCGGTCCGCCTAGCCGTCTGTCGGAACATGATGTAATTGTTGGGCTTCGGAAAGCTGCCATCTGGATTAAATGGCTTGCAATTTCAAATTTTCCCGATCTCTACAGCCACTGTGATGCAGACAGAAGCAAGCCATCGCCAGACAACTCCATGATAGCATACTTGTACCAAGCTGTTGAAGATCTAGTTTTGTCTAGCTGGGTGCAATTCCTCATGACGCAAGATCTCGTGCATTTATCCCTTCACTTCGACGGTTGCCGAATTCAGGGTCGAGCGCTTGACACGGCTTCAATGTGTCAAGAGTCTTCGGAGTGGATTGCCAAAGAGACTGGGTTTCAGGTGGTTGTGAAGCAGAAGAAGCACCTGCTTCTCGCGGAGCTGTTGGGAAGGGATGGACGTGTTTGCGATACTCTGTCACTTTCTTCCAGCTTCGACTACTCTGCAAATGGCATTCTTACATGCCTGACCTACATTGCAGACCTCTGGTCACCATTGGACGCATGGCTACAGGAACATAAGGCAAACATTGAAGGAGGTCAAACACATCGTTCATATAAAGAATGTTTCAAAGCTGCAGATGTTGCCTTCTCAGTAGACATTGGTTTCTGTGCTGAGAAGACGGGGAAGTACCTACTCCATTGTGAGCACAATGGATCTCCGCTCGTCCTTGGATGTGTAATGGCCGAAGAAACTTGCAAAGTGTTAGTCCGGGACACAGTATATGCGCTATCAGCAGATGCTTTCAAGGCATGTGCTGAGGAGTCAATTGATTATGCCTCCCTAGTGACATTTCGCATGCTGAAAGCAGGCGAAAAACCCCGGCAAGAATCTGAAGTTCTTCTGGAACTGCAGGCCGGCTTCGATCTATCTGGCGGTGCTGAGTTGGAGATGTTGTGTGAGTGCGAAGGATTGCTGGAGAATTCTGATGATGAAGGCATGGCCGGATCACATGTTGATGAATCAATAGTGCAGGTGGGCGAAGAGTTGCTGGCGTTGCTCGCAGAAGAAAGAGGTGAAGTCCTAGATAGCACTGAGACTGTGCATGAAGGCAGTATGCACCGTTGTCCGTTCTGTCCGTTCCGGCAATTCCCTCGACCTTCTCGTGTGATGGAGCATGTGCAAAAGTATCATACAACGAAACGACAATTCTGTTGCAGTGGCACCAAGCAAGTCAGAGTCATTCAGGCTTTGTTTGACGATGACCAGCTCCGCAATATACAGCCAAGTGCTCGCTACCTCCGCAGGAGCGCCGCCGTGTTGCGAACATCAATTGGGAATGAGGATGGAAGCATCAATCACCTTGATCGTCGATTACGCTTGGTCTTGACGGAGAAGGGCCCCGTGTACAAAAGCTTGCAACACGTTGCTGAGAACGAAACAGTGTACCGTCGAGCCAAGAACTTGTATTACACGCATGGATTTGCAGATATGCTTTTCCAAGAGATGATGGTTAGCAATGCAAAAATGAAGCAAGCATCTCGACTGAAGCTTGTAGACATGTATCCCTTGGATGCACTCTTTGTTGCTCCTTTAAATTGTGACATTGACTGTTTTTGTTACAAGCGATAACCCCTGTTGATTCTAAGGCGGCTAGCCGGTTGGCTTTGAGACTCGCAGCAAGTGGCAGCAAGCTCACGGGCCTCTTGCCTCAGCATGTTCGACACTGGTGGCCGCTCGTGGAGGACATCTTCTACTCCGACGCCGTGGACCAGCTGTTCGCCCAATCTATGGCAGAGGCGGTTCACCATACGGAATTTGAATCCGTCAGTGTGGATGCAACCCTGAAGTGTTGCCTCTCCATTCTCGGCCAGAGTTCCTACAGAGCAGGGCCGCAGGAACGAGCCAGCGCTGCTTTCACGGGGAAAGATTGCTTTCGCAAGGTGCCCGGGCTGTTTGTTAGCCTCCTTTTAGACAAAAGCCAAAGGTGTCAAGTTTAAACTAAATTTGTTTGCTTCATTCTCAGAAACCATCTGCCTGGCAGGTTCTGACAGTCCGTGGGCGAACCGGCTGTGTACTGCTCATGGCTCCAACGCCAAATGAGGAGGCACCCGCCATTGCCGAGCGCATTGCTGAGTCGTTGCCTGAAGATGGACTCCGGCAAACACGGATTGTGTGCACGGATGATCCTTCTGCGCATTTGTTGTCGACATTGCGCAATGTCATGCCAAAGCTGGAGCTGCTATGCTTGGACCCTGTCCACCTATGCATGACTTTTGAGTATGGGACGTACAGAAGAAGAACAAAGGCGTCAACCATGTTGAGAACAATTATGCAAAAGTTTAATGCCGTGGACTTTAAGAACATGTCAGCCTACAACTCCAGGCCTTTCAACGGCATTCAGGATGTTTCGTTCGATCACATCACCAAGACACGTCGAGAACAGATTCTGAGTGGAGGAATGGGAAAGGCCAAAGCAGAATCTCTCCTTGACAGCCTGGATGCTGCGAAGCCTTGGCAATGCGAACGGGATTGCATTGAGGCCATGGCAGCATTTGTCCGATGTTTTCCGGACGATGTAGACAAAATCATTCCCGGTCCGAACCGGTCTGGACGGCAAGTGCTGTACACTGCCTGCGCGCCTGCGAGGATGCAATGGTATTTCAACAACATCCGGGCGCGCCATAGTATGCGGCCAGATCGAGTTGTATTACTTCCTGCTGGTACCACTTCCAACGAGGCACTGCATGCTGAAGTACGAGCTTGGTTCCGAGAGACGCAGCAGATGCATAAGAGCACATTGGAAATCAAACTGCGGGTGCTTCACCTGTCCAAACTGATGACCCACCATGCGGGCATGTACAGACCAACTTTGCGGCAAATTCCGTCGGGCCTGGTGCTGGCTAGATCTGTTGTCTCTTCTGCCTGGAATCGACGAAAGCCCTGGAGCAAATTTGCCGGACAGAGTGGCAAGGCTCATTTGCCTCTCAATGAGAGACGGCAGCAAGAAGCATCATTAGTCAAGGCGCATGCTTCCAAAAAACCGGCTGCCAATATCAAAAGACCAGCGGCCATGAGGCATTGCGCAAAAAAGCCAGCCACGCACGTCCTCCCGCAGAAAGTGCGCAGGACTCCCTTTAACAGAGTAAGAGTGTCCACTTGCCGTATCATGGGCGAAAAAAGGCAAGGAGGTTTGAAAGCCTAGGCCTTTGAGTTATTGGATGCTTGCACTTGACCGATCTCTGCGCAGAAAAAGGTTCAAGTCGGCGCGCGCCCTGCCAGATGACGCTGTGGGACTTGTCAAAGACAACATGTTCCGATTGTATTAAAAGCATTTTCAGAACATCAAGCTACTCCGTCAGGCTTGTTCTTGCGGCCTTCGATCTCTCAAACTCTTCTCAAGGCAAGAAATTTGGAAGGGCACGGGGGTCAGAAGGTTTCTTTGAGTAGCACAGGTAAACCTGAAACATGAACCCTTCTCTTAGTATTTTTCCTAGCTGGAAGACCATGGTCAACTTCGGAAAGCAGGACATGAGGCGGTATGATGATGTTGGCCTGGTTCTTCTTATGTCTCCGCACTGGTTGTGATGTGAGAAGAGTGTGTCAAGTCTCGGGCTTGAGGGCTGTCAACAAGAAGGGCTGTCAAGATTCAGGGATGTCAAGGGCAAACCGGATCAAGAGAAAGTGCGGCATTATCAGACAAGACTGTCGAGAAAAAAATATCAAGGAGAAAGAGTTCCAAGAGATCACGCAGGCAACGGCCGTGACAACCAGGCGGCCAGGAGTCGCTCTTATAGGTTATCCCTTTTCTTTATAGACTTCTTACTTTTGTCTTTCGAAACTTCCGTCACCCGGCTTGCCCGGGCCTTACTAAGTTTTCACGGGGAATAGTCTGAAACAATATTTTCCAGCGGGTTCATGTCATGGCATAGCCTCCTCAGGGAGACGAGTCGGCATGGGAGCACCACTGGCGCCCCTGGTCAAGGGGGTGGGGCAAGTGGCGCCTCGATTGCAATTCTTGTGGATGTCGTTGCCACTTTGTTTTGAGCGTTCTCCACTGGTAGAAAGGCGTGTTCATGTCTTGTCCGCCGGTGGGCGACATTGAGCAAAAAAAAATCAACTATTTTGGATATATGATATATTGTAAAGATGACTATATCGAACATTGCGCGTTGCAAACGCTATTTTCCCATATTTGGTTAGCCCTCTTGCAAGAATGTTGTTTGAAACTTGAGGGACCGATGGGGACCATACGGGAAGAAAGATGCTTGTCCGCCAGAGTGCACGTGCAGCAGTGATTTCGTGATTTCTTTGTCACATTCACGATGTTTCTTGTGTTGCAGCACATGGCTTCTATTGGATCCCCGATGCTTACCCCTGGCTGAGAACCCGGGGGTCCAGCCCAAAAAAATAGCCAGGGGGTACCTTGAGTATCTTGTACCAAATTTTTATCCCAGTAGCTGTTTCTTATATTTTGGGGTTGTATCGGAATTTTATTCGCCGGATACCTTTACTCTCAAATATAAAAATTCTACATGCTCTTGACTGTCAGTCCCACGGAATTTTATCCAGGAGGGATTTTGGTACATGAAACAGTTCAAGCAGGGTCTGATATCAAGAAATCAACCCCAGATAAAACCCACGGGTCTGAGATTCTATGGTCCAAAAGGTTCCTCATTTCTAAGGTCAGATAAGGTTTGAGATGTAAAGATCCTAAAAAATATCAATATTTTGTAAAACAAACATGACAGCCTATGGGATATCAAAAATGATAGATCATATAGATATGATATTAAGAAATCGACCCCAGATAGAATCCATGAGCCTGAGATTGTATGGTCCAAAAGGTTCCCCATGTCCAAGGTCAGAAAAGATTTGGGATATAAAGATCCTAAAGATTAAACATTTTATATAACAAGATAACAGTCTATGGGATATCAATGATGATAGATTGGATGTCAAGAAATCAACACCAGATAAAATCATATAAAATCCACGAGTCTGAGATTATATGGTCCAAAAGGTTCCCCATTTCCAAGGTTAGATAAGGTTTGAGATGTAAAGATTGTAAAGAATGTAAAGATTTGTCCCCTATTTGTGCCAATTACATTCTATAGTTTTGCGGAAGTGATTTGAAGAAACAAATCTGGGTTCGTGAAAACAGATGCGCAGAGTTGAAATCCCAAGGTCTAAGCTTTTTCTTTTCGGATGTTTCAGCAAGTGCTTGCCTAGGCCCTTCCTGGAAACTTCAACAGGTATAAATGAATTTCTGAATCATTCTGAATCTGCGGCTTTTGGAACAAACAACCTGATACGCCCCCGGGCCAGCCAAGATGACCGCACCACCAGACAAACGAAGCTTGGGCTTGGTAGGGAACAGACAACTACCATCCGTAAAGACAAATTGTCTGGCCTCGCAACTGGATGTGAAAACCTGCGGCAACTCAAGCCCACACAGTTGCGCCTGCCAGTCTCTCAAGCCAACAGTTTCATCCCAAATACCGTACGCCCAAGTATGATCCGGCAGAGACTGACCATCCAACTCCTTCAGGAGTGAAGCGCGCAGTTCACCACCGGCAACACAGTATTTTGCACGATGGGGACGAGAATCAGGTTCACCACACAGGGGACATGCATTGGAAACCTGGACACCTTCCGCATGTGCAAGGCAGTCCCGAGTAAATGTGACACCTGTAAGTTGCGAAAGAAGCAACGAGCGGTCCCCAAGAGGAAAGCGTTGCCACACTTTGGAGAGCTCAGCATCAATGACCTGAATCTCCCCACAATCTTTTCTGTGAGTCAGATTGCTACCGACCTTCTGCAGCCATGATGACTCCAGAACACGCTTCACCGCCTTAAGAGGCGTGTTCACAAGGTGGAAACATCTGCCGTGGTCATCAGAGGCCACCAGCCCCTGCACAATCCATTCGAACGAGCGGAGCTGCCTTGAAAGAAGGAAAGAAACACCCCGCGTAGCCGAGCGCAAAGCGCAAAGACCCTTTTGCATACGCGGACGCGCGTCCGGAAAGTCGCGCCACATGAGGCGAAACAACCTCAACCTTTGAACAAGGAGACAAAACTCGGGGTCAACAAGTTGGGGACTACCGACCGAACAAGCTAACCACGGGCTAACCCCTTGTTTGGCGATGGAGGCAACCCGCCCCGCTTGTGTACGCAACCGTTTAAGAACCGACTTCGGCACAACACAAGTCTCACTACCATGCAGACATTGCGGCCAGATGCCAGACATGATGAGCCTGGACTTTTGCCACTTACTACCAGGCAAACCTTTCGCCCGTTGCAACCTGCGATGCCCAGCCTTGATTCTCAAGTTGCGCTTTGCTGCGGCACGTCTTTTGCAGTAAGGCATATCAGCCCCAAGGTCAACTGCCTGCAACCGCACCGGGATATGAGAATCCCCAAACGCAACCTGTTTGAGCCGTTTGCGCCCAATTTTACCAGCACTCCACAGCCAGCACTTCTCAGGCGAAACAGGTAAAGCGCAGAGCTCGAGGAACTCGTGAATCTTCGGCAGAACAGTGACAATGGGACCGACCTGACGTGCGATAACTTGCCAGTTATCTGCGTACGTGACAGGGACAACATCCGCCTCCCCCAGAACGAACCGAGCGAAGAAAAGACACATGCAGAACATAGCGACAACCGACAAGGGGTCCCCTTCCGGCACACCTGCCGTAGACTTTTTCAAATCCTCAGCAGCGGGGTAGACACACCCTGCTACGAGTATCTGCCTCTCCATCCCATCCAACGCCTTCATCCATGCCAGCACAATATTTGACGGCAGACCAAAGTGAAGCATGACAGCGGTAACCAAAGGTCTCCGCATAACGTTGAACGCTTTGATGATGTCCAACACCACCCCAGAGGGAGAACCTCCCGCGGCTTCTTCTTCCGCTACAAAGTCTGCGACGTACCCCCAAAGCGACCGCGTAGACAGACGTGGCCCAACAGTCGGCAAGGCCTGCTCATGACACAACTGCAACAGCTGAGAAGTACGGATCCTCGCCCAAACCCGATAGACCACGGAAGCAACGGAGATGGGTCTAACCGACTTCCAAGTAGGTATACCTTCTTCTTTACGCAAAAGAACAAGTAACCAAGTCTGCAGCTGCTTCGGCCAACAGCCACCCTTCCCAACGGTCGCAAAGAGCCGGAGTAAGGGCAAAACAGCCTTCTCAGGCAACAGGCGCAGTTCACCGACCGACCAACCACAAGTGCCTCTCATAGTTGCGACCTTAGCTTTGGCCAAGGCAGCACGCCAGTCAGCAAAGGAAACCGGCGGGAGGAAATGCTCCGCTTTCCCAGGGATACGTTCCAGCAGGTCCTTCCAGGGATACGTATCATCAAAATCACTCTCCCGCTGCCAGAACTCACTCCAACCAGCAAAGAAAGAATGACTCCAAACCGCAGGATCCAACGAAACCTCAGTTTTTGCAAGAGAGGCGGCCTCCGTCCTTGACACTTTCCGATCCAAACGTATGGACGTATCCATGACCTCGACAACTTTACAGTCAATTTTGCCGGAAAGACAATCACCGACCTGAAAACCATGACCTGGCAGTAACTGAATCCATTGTTTCCCGTCTGGGAGCCAGCGCTGCGGCCGCAGTTTAACCGAAGAGCAGACCTCCATCTCCAGCACAGGCGGGTGTGGCCTGTCCTTGATCAAACGATATGCCAGACTACCACTCTTCTTCTTCCAAGACTCCTCCACGTCTGCCGCGAACGATTCACGTTTTGCCTTCCAACACCTTCTCCCAATGTCCTGAGCGTGCTCCGCTGCCTTCTCGAGAAACATCTTCAAGGTAGGCAAACCCGGAAGAACGTAGATCTCAAAGCCAAAACACTCCCGAACCCACCTCGGAAACCTGGGCCTGACCGGCGAACCATAAATGGCAGCCCAAAGCAAAGAAACTTCGGTAGTGAAAGCATCACACGACTGTCGTCCCCGCCCACGCGCCAGCTTTCGCACCAAAGCTTCCAATTGGCGCACCAATTTCTGCCACCTCCTGGCCTCCAATGCCACAGACGGACAAGAAAGGCGGAAGTCAGCACCACGACCCGCACGAAATCTAGGAGGGGCCCAATCCCTCAAGACAGGCTCCAGTGATTGGCCGCGACCTTTCCACGTCTGCCTAGAGTGGACGTCAGGCTCCTCCACCGCCACACAAAGAATTTCTTCGG